CCCTTCCCCTGCCCTCCCTTCAACCCCTCCATCCCTCCCTATTTACAAAGACTTTGTTTCCTTTTTTTCATTTTCTCATATTAATTCCATTCCCTTTTCTTTTCTTTGTATTTGATTTTTCTAAATTGCCTGGCTGACCTTAAACTCAAGATCTGCCTGCCTCAGCCTCCTGAGTGCTGGGATGACAGGTGTGCGCCACTGTGCCTACCTTCCTTTCATGTCTTGCTTCTTCCCTGGAAGTGGAGAGGAAAGGGCATCAGAAAGGAGGTGACTTGTGGCCATCTTCAGGGATGACTCTGAGTTTCCAGCCTGGTGAAATGGGCAGAATCAGAAGCAGCCATTCCAATGAGAGAAAAGAGCACATGTGGGAATGTGGCCGTGGTGAACTCAGAGGACTGGAATACATTTACTTCTCTTCTCCCTCTTCCCAGACAAGCTTCTAATGGGATTTGCCTCCACTCACTGTCTTTTTCCTCGTTCTCCACTCATTCTTCGATTTCCTGCAACCTGGCACCCCACACAGGTCTCCGGTCGCGGTCACCAAGGACCTGCTTGTTTATAGAGGCGCTGGGCATTGCTCAGAACTTTACGTAACTGGTTTTTCTGCACTGTGGTTACTTGCTCTTCTGTGATGCTGTCTTCCCTTGGCTCCTTGGACTCATGCTCTGCTTTCTTTCTGTCACCCTTCTCACCCCTCCTAAGCCCTCCCTCCTTGACTCGAGTCTCCCGGGTCTGTCTCTCCTCACCCACACCTGCACGCACTGGCTATCTTATATTGTCCTCTACTCCCTTTAAACAAACGCCTGGTAAATCTATACTCCCCAGCCTAGATTCCTCTCCTGAGAGCCTGCATTCATCTAGCTTCTGGATGCCTAGGCATCCAGAATGCGGAATACCACTTCTGCTCAAATTCTGTTTCTCCTCAAGCAGGGTGAGGTGTATGCACCTGTAGTTTCAGCACACTGAAGGCTGAGGAAGGAAGACAGCTTGAGCCCAAGAGTTCAAGACCAGCCTGGGGAACACAGCAGGACCCTATTTCAAAAACCAAATGGTGCATGCCTATAATCCCAGCTACTCAGGTGGCTGAGGCTGGAAGATCATTACGTTTGAGCCCACCCTGGACAATTTAGCCAGACCCTATCTCAAAAAGAGAAAAAAATCTGTTTCTCCTCGAGTATTACATGGCTCATTAAATGGCCTTCCCATGAACTAGTTGACCATGCCAGAAACCTGGGAGTCCTCCAAGGGGGCTTTTTTGTTCTCTCCTCCACACCCCAGCCTGATCATTTTAAGCAAATATTGGCTGGTGATTTAGCTCAGTGGTTTCACTGCCTGCTGCACAAGTGCAAAAACCCGAGTTTGAGTCCCGGTACCAAAAAAAAAAAATGCACATTTTAAGCAAATAAGAAGTTTTGTCATTTTTTTGTTTTGTGGAGAGAAAACATTTTTAATATCTATTGTTATGTTATATGAAAACCTACAAATAATGGATTTGTACAGAACAAAACCCTCAAATAGGGCCGGGGATTTAGTGATTCAGTGGTTCCGCCCCCTGCCTCGCAAGCGCCAAGAACCCAAGTTCGATCCCCCTGTAATGTCTGTGCCTGAGAAATCACAGAAGTAGGGGAAAGGGACGATGAAGGAGGTCCTTTGGGATGATAGGTCAGGCTTTCCCAGAGAACCCTACTGTGCCCAACTCCCTGAGGGCACAGATGCTGTGGCCCCAAGAGGCCAAGCGGCTTGGCCAAACCTTCCTTAGTGAAGGAGCAAAGACCGGTACCTACGACTCCTTCTGCAAATGCTTTTTCCACTCTTCCACTTTGATTTCCATCCAGAAATGCTTGTGAAGTCAGAATAGCATAAGAAGGAAGACTTATGTGGCGGGCTGGCATGGGGAAAAGACCCAAGGAGCTGAAATGGGAAGAACTGGTTTTCTGTTGCTGAGTGTATAATTGTTACCGACACCTAATCTCAGTTTCTTCGTCTGTAAAATGGGCTCGCTTTATTATAAGGCTGTTATGAAGATGTGAGCACTCTGAAAATCAAAAGCATGGCACAAATAAGGACATGCACATGAGGGGCTATGAGGCGGGAACAGAACGGGAAGACACTATTTACACAGTGGGGCTTTAGGGTCCTGAAATAATGTAAGGTGTATGGTGTTTGTCATTTTTCTGGGAAGAGGACCTATAAGTTGTAATGTATTTATATTCCTGAGAAAAGGTTAAGAAGAGTCATGGGTTGAGGCTGACATGGTGGTGCATATTTGTAATCCCAGCATTCTGGGAGGCTCAGGCAGGAGGATTGCAAGTTTGAGTACAGCCTGGGCAACCTAGCAAATTAGTGAGGCTATGTTTCAAAATAAAAAATAAAAAAAGGGCTGGGGTGTAGCGCAGTGTAAAGGCCCTTGGTTCAAACCCCAGTACTACCATCACCAAAAAAAGAGGCTAAGCCACTGGTACTCGTATTTGGCACCACTATAACTAATCCAAGAACTCTTCTATAGAGAGTTCTAAAGAGAGAAAGATGAACAAAACAGGATCCATGTGCTGGAGGAACCATTTTTGAGAAAGCCATAAGGTTGCCTGATAAAATACAGGCTGGGCGTGGTGCTACACGCCTGTAATCCCAGAACTTGGGAGGCTGAGGCAGGAGGATTGCTGTGAGTTCAAGGCCAGCCTGAAATACAAAGTGAGGCCTTGTCTCAAAACTGTTTTTAATTTTTAATTTTTATTTAATTTTTTTTTTTTTTTTTGCAGTACCGGGGATCAAACTCAGGACTTTGTGCTTGCCAGGCAGGCATGGGCCACTGAACAACATCCCCGCCCCATTTTTTGTTAATGTCAGATATTAATTTTTTAGTGTAATTGTGGCCCATGTAACATTTATCTGAAGTTCAAATGAAACTGGCCATTCTGTAGATTTAATGGCTAAACCTGGCAACCCTAGAAGTTTATTTTCAGCAGAGAAGAGGTTTCTTGTGTCTCAGTGGAACTGCTTTCCCATTGGTGGAGAGCAGGTGGGAAGACAGCGTGTTCTGGAAGTGAAACTGAGTCAGACCGCAGGCACACTGAAGACCGGGTGCCTGAGGGGTGGCTGTGAATCGAGGCACCTGGCACCTTTCTGATGGCCTGGGAGAGGCAGGTTCAAGCTGTGCATGGCCTGAAGTCTATAGTGTTGATGACCTTCCTTCAGAAAAAAAAAAATGTAAGACTGCAAGGACAAAATCAGATACAGGTGTATATTTTAAAAAGAGGACACAATAAAATACTGCAGCCTCGATACTTAGAAAAGCATTTGAGCTGGGCATGGTGGCACTCAGGAGGCTGAGGCAGGAGGATTTCCATGAATTCAAGGCCAGCCTGGGACACAGAGTGAGTTCAACACCAGCCTGGACTGCATACTGAGACCCTGTCTCAAAAAAAAAAGAGGGCCGGGGATTTGGTTTCGCCGCCTGCTGCGCAAGCGCCAGGACCTGAGTTCGATCCCCAGTACCAAAAAAAAAAAAAAAAGTACATAAAATGCTAGAAATCAATAATAAATAATACCAGGTGATTTCAAGTTGAACTATTCTTTTGGATTTAGGTAATTGATGAAGAATTAATATTTTATTCATGAGGGAACTTAACAAATTTGTTAACTGAATGTTTAATTTCTCCTGGGAATGAAGAACAGGGGGATATTATGGTAATCTATATCAGTGGTGGGGAGCCTATGGCGTGCGAGCAGCAGCAGGCTGTTTGTATCATTGAAAGCTGTAAAAGATTTGCCATCACTGAACTATATGATATGTCACTTTCCTTCCTTCTCTTTTCTGTTCTCCTTTTTTTGTTTATTTTTTGAGATAGGATCTCAGTATGTAGCTGGCCTTGAACCCACTACTGAGGATCCTCCTGCCCCAGCCTCCCCAGTGCTGAGATTATAGATGTGCACCATCACCATACCTGGCTAATTTTTGTCTTTTTGAGACAGGGTCCTGCCGTGTAACCCAGGTTTTGATCTCCCTGCCTCAGTCTCACAAATGCTGTGTGTCACATTTCTTGAAGTAAGGAAAGATACTGGGGAAATATAAACTATTTATGTGGATTTTTGCAAACAATATATAAATTATACCTTTTCTCAATTTAGCTTTTCAGCATTTTTGATTACAATTGCATGAAAGATTTTAAATTTTGAAATGTTGGCTTTCATATTTTATATTGCCATTTTCCTTTCTTCTTAAAATGAAGGGCCACCTGTTCTTGCAAAGAAACCATCCACGACAGGGCAGTAATGCTCATTATTGGTTCTGAGATTTACTGGTAAATATGATGTAACAATTGCCCTCTTGGTTTTTTTTTTTTTTGGTACCGGGGATCGAACTTGGGTCCTTGCGCTTGCGCAGCAGGCAGCGAAACCACTGAGCTAAATCCCCGGCCTTGGTCTTTGTTTTAAATACATCAATGTAGTCAATCCATGGCTTTTTTAAAAAAGTAGTTTACCTATTTTTCCCCCTCCATGTGGCATAGGTTTTAAAAAATGAAACCTCCCCACCACCAGCTTAAACTCTGCTTTAAACAATATATACAGACAAAAATGGAATTAAAGCCAAGTTTTTAATTTATTCCATATTATGTGTCATGAGCAATACCAATAGAAAAATTCTTGACAGTTTCTTCTCGAGGCATTTGAAAGTTCATACAAATTTATGCATAGAAAACATATAAAAGGGCACTCATCAAAATGCTGGTAGTAATTATCTCTGGGTGGTAGTGAAAGTATAGTCAATTTTTATCTTCTTTTTCCCTGTCCATATTTTCTGATTTTTCTCAAGTAAGCATATTAAAATGTAGAGATAACTCGTGGGGAAAAGAAAGCTACTGCATAAGAAACGATCTTTGGGATATTAAACTTGACATTTGAAAGTCGGAGTTTCACTTAGCATATTTTATAGCGAGGAATGGATTGGATTGCAGCTCACCTGGCCATCTGTTCAATGGGAAGGAGGGAAACACCTTCCTTGCACGGTTATTGTCAAAACAGCAGCGTGTATTTCCAGCAACTTGCATGGTGTGTATTATTTGCTTAATGAACTGTGGTTTTTGTTATTAGTAGTATATCTAAGAATCTAAAAATAAACCCCCTCAGTACCCCCTAAACCTTATTTAAACATGTTCTCAAATCAACATGAAGTAAATGTTTAGATCCTCTAGAAAAAGCAATCAGAGTTAAACTACATTTTTCCTTGTTTAACAATGTTCAACTAATGAAATATTCAAAAATACAGTAAACAATAAGAGAAATTCACCTTACTCTTCATTCTTTTTATCAGATGCAACTAAACTCCCAACCTCTCTCCTCTCTTCTCTCTCTAGAGGTAACCGCTGTCCTAAAACTGACTTTCTAACACTTCTACACATACTTTTGTACAATTTCTGCTTATGTTTATACCCTGTATACATATTATCTTTTTTTGTGTGTGTACATATTATTCACACTTACAACCATACTTTATCTTCATAAATAATAGGTATGATTTTTTCTGGGTGGAGAAATACGAAACCCAGTCAGAAATTCCTTCTACTTGGAATGTTTTTCTTCCCCATTTTCTCATTTTAAACAACACTACATTTGTTTTTAATAAGACTTTGCATTATCAAAATGAAATGACTCCTGGGGGCCAGGGATTTAGCT